CCCCGGCGCCCGACGCCCAATCACAGCGCCGCGCACGTGACGAGCGCTCCCTGCGATGACCTCATCCCTGGTGTGGGATGACGTCAAATTCAAGATGGATGGAATCACAGCGGCAGCGGCGGCTGCGGCGCGCGCGAGCCGAGTGTGAGCGGAAAGGGGCCCGGCGTCTGCCTCGGGGCTGAAGACCGGTGAGTAACTGTCACGCCCCTCGCCCTGGGAGAACTGTGCGGCCCCCTGAGAGGCCATGGCCTTCCCGCAAACCGCGGCCTTTCCTGACGTAACTCTGAGGTGATTTCTCCCCTCTTTTTTCTCCACCAGCGGGCAGCGGGCTCCGGCCGCTTCTGCGCGTGCGCCGGGCCTCGGCGCTCACAGAGCATGCCCGGGGCTCCCACGTCGCCGATCCTGCCTTCACACCGCGCATGCTCCTTGCCCGCACTTGGCCTCGCCCTCGTCACTGCGCATGCCCGGTTCCCTCACTGGGCTTCCCTCGCCCGGCCAGGTTGCCCCCGGGGGTGCGGACGCGCTGGGCGTCGGCGCGCCCCTGCGCTCAGCGGTTGGGACGCCGGCGGGTCCGGGACGCGCGCTTGCGCCCCGCACTGGCGCGGGGGCCGACGGCTGGCAGCGTCGCTACCGGGCGCACGCGGAAGCTGGGGGCGGCAGGGGACCCCGCACCTGCCAGGGCCTGCGCCCCCTCCCCCGACCCCGCCCCGGCCCCGGCGGCCCGGTGGACTTGGCTGCCCCACCCTGGCCGGCCCGCTCCGGTGTCCGAGCCCACTAGTGGCCCCCGGGACCCCGGCAGGTCGCGTTCCCCTGCTCGCCGGCGGCGGGCACAGCACCCTCCGCTGGCCACCGCTGGCCGCTCGGCTGTGGATGGGATCCCCGCGCGAGGGCGCCCCGCTGGGGAATCGCGGCCAGGCCGCCGAGACTTCGTGGGCTCTCTTACCCCCAGACCTGCCTCTGAACCAAGCCCAGCGACCCTCTGCTGAAGCCCCTGACCGCAGGGGCGCCCCTGGTGCCCGCCCCTGGCCGGGGTTGTGCTTGGGCACGCTGCAGCCACAGGGCGCCCCACTTCCTAAGCAGCTCGTTTGGCCCTGGGGTGCCAGCTGTCTGGAGACAGGTGCCCCAAGGGTTGCCTAGCAGTGGGATGAAGGGAGGCCAGCAGAGCCCAGCAGCCCGGCGCCCCGTGCTGGGCACCGTGACCCTGCGTCACCCCGCGGCGCTGCCTTGTGCAAGCGGACAGGAAAGTGGGTTAATCCCTCCTAGACTGCCGCAGTTGTTTCCCGACCTTTCCCTTTGCTGCCGGGAGCGCCCGTCACCACCTCCCCACTGGCACCACGTGTGCCTTTAAGCACCCCGAGGAGTCGATAGTGGAAACAAGCAGCAATCGGGGACCTTGGCACACTCAGTAGGTTTGTGCCTTACTCATTCGTCCTTTGACACAAACACTGACGCGCTTTGTGTGTGGGAGAAGCATTGAGGGCTGCGGCCCCCGCCAGGGTTTCCTGACCTGCGCCCCAGCGCTGCGAGGACGCCTGTCTCCTTAGTGAGGGCCGCCGGGTGCCGTGTGCAGCCTGCCTGGCCGCCAGGCCTCTGCGGACGTGCTGCCCAGGGCTGGGCGCGGGCCGGGGCGCATGCAGCCTGCCACCACCCTGGCCACCGGCCCGGCTTTCACCCACTGGGCGAGCGCTGCGCTGGAGGGCCTGGGTGGGCTGAGGACGGTCCAGGTGCGCGAAGAAGACACGAGACGTGTGTCTCAGGGCGGCGTCTGCAGCAGGACCGGTGCCAGGGGGACTCAGGGTGGCCGTCTGCGAGGCGTGGGCACCCTCGCAGAGGGCACAGTGCGCCGCCTACTGACTGGCTGGCTACAGGCACGTCGTGGGGCCCGGCTACGCCACGTCCGCCCCCACACGTCGAGGGGCCCGGCTAAGCGTGAGCCCACTGAGGGCGGCAGCCGGAGCAGGCCAGGCTGGGCACGTGCTGCCCAGGGCTGTGCGCGGCGGCGCGTGCGGCCGGTCTCGGAGCTCCGGGCTCCAGCACCTGAGAGCCAGGGGTGTTCAAGCCTGCCCCTCACCCCCTGCCCCGGCTCGGCCAGCTCCCCTCCGGGCTCCCACAGCCGAGGGTCCAGCTGCACCTGGCTGCGGCCCCACCCCAGGCTGCTGGGGCCAAGCCTGCCCCGTGCCCCCCTGCTCCCCCGCGCCACTGCCTCCCGGCACTGAGGGCTTTGGGGGGACGGTGTGAGCTCATTTCTAGCGTCTAGCCATGGGGGGCTTGGTGGCCACACAGGGACCTCATCCTCGCTGAGCGCCTCTGACCAGGCCCCTGGACGGTGACTGCCCCCTCTGCCTTCCTGGGTCCCGGGTGACCCCCACGGCCCCACCAGAGCACTGCTCCTAGCTCGGGGTTCTCCCGGCGCTGTGTCCCCCGGCAGGCTGCATTCGCACCCGCCCGCCCCCAGGGCTGTGTGTTGCTGAGGACAGGAGGCTGGCCGCTGCCCAGTGCCTGCTCTCTGCGCCCACACCGGAGGCAGGGGACTGGCTCCCCGGAGCCCCCAGCCGCCGGGACACACTGGCCTTCCTCACCAAAGCCCTCGTGGTGCCTGCTCACGCGGCGTGGCTGCGCCAGAGCGGCAGCCTGTGGATCTGGACTCTCCTTTGGTGCTGAATTAACTGACCGCTGGCCCCGCACTTCCGCGGCCTGCACCGCTCGCCTAGTGCTGGCTCACCCCGAGGAGCACACCTCACCTGCTGCGCCGGGACCCACTTCAGCAACGCTGAGGCCCAGCGAGGGAGGGACCCCGCAGCCCCAGGGTCACACGGGCTGAGCCTGCCTGGCCTCAGGTGTCCCCCGCAGAGGTGGAGAGAATCCTAGCGAGCTCCAGCTGGCCTCGCCCGTGGCGTCGGCAGCAGTGGGCTTAGCTGCACATCAGGGCTCCCTGTGCGGTGGCTGAGACGTGACCCGGTGAGGAGATGGGGTTCCAGGCACGGCGGGTGCTTTCTGGAAGAGAGCGCTGCTGACCACTGTGGTGCAGGGTCACCGGGTGCTGCGTCCCCTCCGCTCTGGGGGGCTACTACTGGGAGCCACCGTGTTGCACACGGGCACCGACTCCCCCAGGGGTAGACTTTGGGTTCGACCTGTGCCCAGCTGAGCAAGGAAAAGACCCGAGGCCAGTGGGCGAGGACCCTGGGGGTGCACCCGAGCCAGAGCAAAGCTGCCCGCCCGCCCGCCCGCCCGAGACTTGGCTCCGTCGTGTGCTCCAGGGAGCATTGGCACTGGTGCCCGGCAGCCGGCCGAGGCCAGAGCCCGCGCTGATTATCCTCGGGTCACTGAGCAAGGCCAGTCCCTGTGTGCCTGCCTCCCGGCCGGCCTGACCCGTCCCCTTTGTCTTTCAGGGCCAGGCATGGAGGGGCTGCTGCACTACATCAACCCCGCGCACGCCATCTCGCTGCTCAGCGCCCTCAACGAGGAGCGCCTCAAAGGGCAGCTGTGCGACGTGCTTCTGATTGTCGGGGACCAGAAGTTCCGCGCCCACAAAAACGTGCTGGCTGCCAGCAGCGAGTACTTCCAGAGTCTGTTCACGAACAAGGAGAACGAGGCGCAGACCGTGTTTCAGCTCGACTTCTGCGAGCCTGACGCCTTCGACAATGTCCTCAACTACATCTACTCCTCGTCCCTGTTTGTGGAGAAGGGCAGCCTCGCGGCGGTGCAGGAGCTGGGCTACAGCCTGGGCATCTCCTTCCTGACGAACATCGTCTCCAAGACCCCCCAGGCCCCCTTCCCCACGTGTCCCAGCAGGAAAAGAACGTTCCTGGACGACGACGACGGCGCCGCTCAGCAGCGGAGCGTCATCGTCTGTCAGGGCAGGACCGAGGCGCAGGGCAAAGCCCTCAGTCAGCTGCGGCCGGCTCTCAGCCCGCCCCCCCGGCCCTCGGCCAGCGTGGCCGGCAAGCTTGGCGCCAGCAGGGCCCCGGCTCCCCCGCAGGCTGACGAGGGCTGGCCGCCAGAGAGCCCCGGGGGCTCGGGGAAGCCCCTGGAGCAGAGCAGCTCCCTGGGCGAGCCCGACAGGGGCGGCGTGGCGAAAAGGACCACCGTCCTGCCTGCCCGGCCTCCACAGGACAGAGAGGCCGTGGATGACAAGCTGGGGGCCGGGACAGCGCTTCCCAAGGGAAAGGCCATTGAGCTGGCGCTGAAGAGGCCGCGGCCGCCCGTGCTGTCCCTCCGCAGCGCCTCGGAGACGCCCTACCTGCTGAAGGAGGCGGGCGCCGGCGAGGACCGCGGGCTGCTCTGCTACTCCAAGCTGGGCCTGGCGGCCCCTTCCGGCGCGGCTGGCTCCGGGGGCCAGGGCATCGACAGGAGCGGCCCGCTCGTGAAGAGCCTCCTCAGGCGGTCGCTGTCCATGGACAGCCAGGTCCCCATCTACACCCCCTCCATCGACCTGAAATGTGCCCCCGCGGCAGCCTCAGCCTCCGCCGCCAGCGACGCGCCCGGGCGCGCGTTCTGTGCGTTCCCGCAGAAGC